AATTCAAAATATCCTCTAGTTAGATGTGAATTGAAATTTTAAAAAGTTACTTTTTTAAATAATAAGATTGAAAAGTAATGTGTTAATTTTAAAATGGTAACTCTTATTTGAAACATCAAGTGAAAACATGACATTAATAATAGGACGGAGAGAGTAATTCTTTCGAACTGTATTTGTCACAAAGACCCTAGTCCGCCAATATTGAGATCCTAATGCCCGTGAACTCAAACAACCTGTCTTTTTTTTTCTTTTTCTTTTTTAACTCAAACAAGCTCCTTTAGCACAACATTGATCACAATTTACAGTATTGCACCATCTTTTCTACTGTTTTCAGGATTGTAGACGTTAAACATGGGAAAAAGGAAGTAGGTGTGGACTTCATCAAGAAAAAATTAAGACAACTAGTGATCTACTTGCTCTGCTGCATGACTATGAACAGAAGAAACAAAGCTAAATGTTGATTATGGCTAAAAGAATCGGCTGGAAATCTTTGTCCAATTTGGCATTTTCCTACCACGTACGACATTATTTAACCAGGGATACAGATGGCTCTATTTCTTTGACCATGTCCTTTAAAAGTATGTTTTGAATAATTTTTGTAAAACAGTATTTTCATGAAGACCAAAACGGTCACCTATGCAAAGGGCTTGAAGTTTCTTTACTGACCTACCCAGGATCTAATGGTGAAGACCACGCTTCCTATTTAAGAATTTACAGTTACAGCACAAGCAGTAGTCTAGTAGAGCGCAGGAGTTTCTTTGAGTTCAGAAAAGGGAAAAGATTGGCATAACTGTAAATGAAGAATGATAAATATTGGTATAAAGTAGTACGTTCTCCTGTTAAATAGTTGGCTTTACGTTCAATTGGCTCAAGTTAGCTCTAATCAGTCTAATCTTTTAGTACTTTTTTCCTAGCATGATATGACTAATCATTAGTATTCTGGTTCTTGAGTGTCCATATTTAGCCTTTAAATTTCCAATTCACCGCTCAAAGGATACACAATCAGGTAATCACACCTTGCCACTGTCTTTTAGCCCAACTTATAAGGTGCTATGGTTAAGGTGATGTCGGCATATTGTACTTTTATGATCAACCAAAAAATATATATTTTTCTTTCAGACGTCATAAAAATTAGCCCATATCTTTCAAGAGAAAAAAAAAAAAACAGATTAGCCCGTAGAGGCAAATAAAGTTGGTTGAGCCAAGGTTTGATGTGGGCTTATCACACTTCTATAACCAAAAAAAAATACTTAAGCCAAATTAGTTTTAACTTTTTTCTTTTATTATCAGGAATAAGTTGAACAGAATGACATAATTAACTTACCATCAGTTAACATTTTTGGGATTTTTATTCCTTCCATCTTTCAAGACAAGTTTCCGAAATGGCCAGATACCGATACACAAAAAGGATATATGAAAAAAAAAATGACAATTGCAGATCTCAATTTTTTTTTTGAATTGATGGCTCTATTTATTACAACTGGCCTCAAATTTTAGAATCTACAGTTCTGTTTATCCAAAAAGATACAAAATTTCCATATCCGTCATCCTATATACCGTATAAAACTACAGAGCAGCCATATGGGGGGCTCGATCAATTGAGACCCCAGCAGCTCAAGTACATGACTTTCCTTAATGATTCTTCAGCCCCCTTTAGTTTTTCCTGAGCTTTAGCTTTACTGCTTGATGAAGCCAATGCAGAAGGAGAAAGCTGCTTGGTCTGAGACAGGGGCCTGAGGTTTTGCTTGGCAAGCTGGTGCATTGAATGCATTTTCAGCAAGAATGTAATTAAACTGAAAGACTAATACAACCTTGTTGATGATGAAGTCTTTAGGATATTCTGGCACTTAGTTGAATGCTAGAGATGTTTTTAGAATTCTGAGGAGAAGATGGTGTTTTTTGGTGCTCAAGTTGTTGGGAAGTTCGGTCATATTTATATATTCTGTCATCTCTAAAGTTTCTGTGTGTTTGTGTAAATGGATTGATGCAAATACCAGGGGCTGTGTGATTTTCCTGTGGTCTTGGAGAGTATGGTTTTTTTCAATGTTCTAGTAGGTTCTTGTGGGCTGTGTCATTTTCCGCTGGTTTGTTGAGGTCAAGTGGGCCAATGTTATTAAATTTGAACTGAAGAGTGAATTGGAAAAATGTTCAATTGTTCAATTGATTCAATCGGTACAATCTCGATTTAAAATTTTATTTATTCATTTATTTTAGCATTAATTTTTAAAAAATTAAACTATTTATTTTTTAAAAAAATAAAAATTTTAATAAAAACCAGTTAAACTTTCCGATTTTTGTTCATTCTTGACCGATTTAATTGATTTTTTTTATTATTCATTGAATCAGAATGGAGGTATGACTGATTCACTGTTTAATCGATCGAACTGATCAATTCGATCCGATTTTCAAAACACTAAAGTCGATTTGTTTTGTCCATTTTACCGAACAAAGCAATGAAAAGGAGAAATTTAATTACTTTCTTCTTCTTTACTTAACATTTAGACGGTAATAAATTATGAGAAGTTATTGATTACTCGTACCTGTGTCACATATCAAAAGACTTATTCCATTTTAATACAACTTTAGTTTTATAGATTTTATTGATGGTTGGTTAGCAAAGTACATATCCAATGTATATTTTTTTATTTTCACTTGGACGAGAATTCTATTTATGATTAGGAGGGATAAATCTAGGGATAATTTCAGAATCCTCCCTTGAGGTTTTTAACAATTTCATTTAGCTCCTTAAGATTTTAAAAATTACACATACCTCCTTTTTATTTAAAATGACAATACTACCCTTAAATATTTTAATGAAATTTCCTTGTTTGGTATGTTTATACTTAGAATGACTTTTTAAATTATTTTTATATTCTTTTTCCTTCTTATTCCTTTTTTTTTTAATTTTTTGCCAATAAAATTGTAGAACTACTACTATTATCTCTAATTCTATTGTAACCAAATGTCGAACTAGTGATTTTTTTGATGAATTAACTTTTTATGCAATCCAATGTTTTTGCTAATCATTGTTTTCTATTTTTTGGTATTAAAATTAACAATAAATCAAAAGAAAATGGCCCAAAACCACTACTAAATTATGATAATCCCACTACTCGAAAAATTCATAAACTTTAAATGAATTATTTAAATCCATAATAAAATACCATCAAAAGTATTCTATCATAATGATAAAATTATTATTATAGTTGTTTATCAAATAGTAGGTATGAACATAAAAATTTTGGCACATTTTCTTATAATTATATTAGATAATCTTATAATTGTATGGATAAATAAATTAAAACTCATTACACAGGGGCATTTTTGGGTATTCATTTAAAAATTTGATCAAGTCAATGATATTTTAAGATTTTGTTACTAAAACTATCAAATCAAGGAAGGTATGTGTAAGTTTCCAAACCTCAGGGAGCTCAATGAAATTGTTAGAAACCTCAGTGGGGCTTTTGAAATTATCCCAAAAATCTAAGGTGGACCTCTTTGCTACACTCAATTGTACAAAAAAACATGGAACTGCTTTTGGTTTGATTGTGAGGTCAACAGCACCATATGATTCATGGCCAGCGTTGATATAATGCGAATTTGGATGTATAAAATTAACTTTGGGACACAAATTCCATTAAATTACAAAATTTGTTAGATGATTTTGTATGTTATCATCTTAGGATTTACTTCTATTAAGTCCGTGTCCGTATCTTTTTTTTTTTTTTTTTTTTTTTTTGGTCGACGGAGTGGGGTGTCCGGGTCAAGTCCGTGTCCGTATCTACTGTGATACTATCCACATTATATAGTGCAATTAGCACTAGTGATTACAAATTAAATCTCTAGACCTACAAAGTAGAGTGGGGGTGGAAAAATCCATTTAAGTACAGAAGGGAAAACTCTAAAATTGAGAAAGAACACTTAAAAATAGAAGAAAAAGTGGTTATATTGGATTCATTTTATGGAAATTGCCCACCATAGACTTTGATGTATAAGAGATAGTCTTGAGTGCATTTTTAAGTATGTTATTGTAGTACTTAACTTCCAATGAGATACTCTTCCATATCCAATATAAAATACACGTTTCAAATCTTCTGTTCACAAATTACCTTCTATTTGATTTGTTTCGTATTTATATAGCTGTTACGTGTATAACACGGACCAGATCTCATCAAACAGATGAGATCGAAGATAATTTTGGGACAGAAGATAATTTTAGAACAAAAGAAAAAATGGACATGCTAGTTATGGTTGACAATGACAACGAGCACACGGTTTTGCAGCCAATTGGATAGGATCTTGGAATGACAAATAAGCTGTTGGCTATTTGTCTCGTTTTAGGAAATGGGATGGAGCGGAAGTATCAACCGTCAAGTATGGGCCAAAAGCAAGAACAATAGGAAGAAACACATCTTTAATCAATTTAGCCTTGGATTTACATACGCCAGTATTTGCTTTCGATTTGGACAGCACCTAAATATTAACCTTTCAAATATCAAAACAATATTGCAATTCTCAGGGAAAAAAAATTGCAAATTTTCACCTTCTTTTTTTTCCTTTATCCGGGCGTATTGATTGCGGACCGATCCTATGTATCTATGTGCAAAAGTTTTTTTTTTCCCTATCATTTCATGTCGAGCATAAAAAATAACGTATCACTCTTTTATTAAACCAAAAAAAAAAAGGAAGAAAAACCTCATACATATTCTTTGGCGAGATCAGTGGAAAGCAAATTCTTGATAATTCCAAAGGCAAGCATCCATACCTGGGGCTAGGAGTTCTCTTCTGGAGTTTACTTGTGTCGCCATGAAAATTTTGGTGAAAGGGAAGAATTTTTTTTATGACATGGAGGATATATAGCAAAATTCGCATTTCTTCAATAGCAAAATATACCAATTTTGGTGGTATGGCTGCCTGAGCTCAACCCCATTAACTCTGCCACCCATTGAGATGCTAATGCAATTAATTAATTCAACTAAGCAGTGATTATAGAGACCATATTTAAAGAAAGACATTTGCAAAAAATGTCTTAAAATCATATAATTTACAATTTTGTAGGTAGAAAATTACCAAAATTTCCAGTTTTACATCACCCCATATATCTAAAATTACAAAACTAAATAGTACTAGTGGGGGGGCTCAATCAATTTGGACCCCAACAGCTCAAGTACATGACTTTCCTTAATGATTCTTCAGACTGCCTAATTTTTTCTTGATCTTTAACTTTAATGCTTGATGAAGCCAATGCAGGAGAGAGCTGCTTGGTCTGAGACAAGGACCTGAGGTTGTTCTTGGCAAGCTGCTGCATTGACCTAATGGTGTGGTTCCACCTGTACAGTCCCTGATCTTTCATTGCCTGCACTGCTCCTACACTTACTGCTGCTATCCATGCCCTGGTTGTTGAACTCATTTTCAGCAAGAACGTAGTTAAACTGAAAGATTGACTCCTTGTTGATGATACAAGTCTTTAGTTGAGTGCTGCAGATGCTTTTAGAATTCTGAGAAGAAGATGTGTTTGGTGATGGAGCTGTTGGGAGGTTCAGTCATATATATACACAGATTCTCTGAAGTTTGTGTGTGTTTGTGTATGATGATTGTTGCAAAAAACCAGGGGCTCTGTAGCTTTCCAGTGGTCTAGGAGAGTGTGGTTTTTTAAAGTTCTTGTGGGCTCAGGGCTGTGGCGTGCTCAACTGGCTCTGGAGAGCACGGTTTCCAGGAAATCAAGCGGCCAATTTTGGAATTACGTAGCATTGAAAGATAAGAAGAAAAGAGGGAATTGTTATCTTCTTCTTCACTTAGCATTGAAAGGGTAATAAATTATTTGGAGTTACTGATTAGTCGTACCCATGTCAAATATAGGGTTGTCAATGGGATTAGAACAGTTCGAGCTCGGCTTATTTGGCTCAAAAAAACCGCTGGACTAATTTTTATTTGGACTAGATAGAGTTTAGCCTTAATATTAGACCGGAACTAAGGCCCTATTTGATAATCAAATTCAACCCTTAAACTTAATGGAATCAGATCTTAATATATTCAGATTATTTGATGATAAAAAAAATTGAACATTTGAATTAATTAAGTGGTATTAGATTTTCTAATTAAAACTTGCTCCCAAAATTAAGTGATAAGTTATTAACTTATCGTTGAATGTGATATGCATTGAAATGTATTAGATTTAATACTTAATAATTTAATAACTTAATGGATTCAGATTTCAGATTTCAATTTTATCAAATACACCCTAAATGTAAAATCGAATTTGAATCATGCTAGAATCGAACACAGCTAATACCCGGCTCATATATGAATGTGTGTGTGTAATTATAAATATCTATGACATAATAATTTATATATAAATTTATAGTGATTCATAATTATAAATATATTATATATAATTTTGTATTTAACTATGAGTTTGAGTCAAGTCTGATTTGAACCTGAAACTCATTTAACAATGAGAATTGAGATCGAACCTTTTAATTTGAACTTCAAACCCGAATGCCCGAAGATCAAAAAACCTATATCATTTGTGAATCGAATTTGGATTTGTTAAAACCTGATTACGAAATCCCAATTGGCACCCCCAGTCAAATATACAAAGGACTAATTCCATTTTAATAACTTTTTTTAATATAACAAAAGAGTTTTATCAATAAGATTGTTGAAAATTGTTCACCACTGCTTTCTTGACGGAAGAAAATTCTAAGACATTCAAAAAGGCAAAATTTGCATAATGCGTTATGTGCAATCTTATTTCCATTTTAGTAGACCTTTAGTTTTATTTACTTTATTCATAATTGGTTAGCAACGTACATATTTGATGTATACTTTTATTTTCTCAAGAATGACGAGAACTATAATTCTAAATATTACGAGAGAAACGTTTAAGGTGAATTCCTTCCAAAAAAAAAAAAAAAAAGGTTTAAGGCGAACTTGTAAGTTATGGTCATTGTACAAAGTGGCGCGTGTATAAAAATCACCTAAGTACCCACGCGAAAATTCCAAAATCTTAAAAATAGAAGAACAAGTGTATGGCTACTATGGGTTAATTTAATTCTATGAGAATTAGCCACAACAGACTTTCAAGTATAAGAGATTTAATCTTGAGTGCAAGCATTGTTAATACTTGAAGTAATTAACAATGAGAACATAAGTCCTTCCTATTGAATAAAAATAGACAAACAAGTTATTGGCCTTGTTCCCAACTGTTTTTGATTGTATAAGAACTAATTTTGGAAAATTAAAATAAAAAATATCAAAATAGATGCTTCTAATTTTTAATTTTTTAAAGCTAAAAAAACTCAAAATCAAAATATGAACAGCAATTGAGAACACAATAAAATAATTTTTTTAAAATTAAAATCTAAAATCAAGTTTTGAAAATCAGTCTAAAAATGAGGCCATGTAGTAGATGGTAATACTTTTTTTTTTTTTTTTTTTATAAAACAGGAAACTTTATTAATGAGATTGGTAGATATCGTTCAACACGATTTACTTGACAAAACTTGGCGATGAATTCCATAGATTTTTAAGAAGATTGGCAGTTTTTGCATGATGAGTTAAACAATACTCAATCTTATTAGCCTCTTTGGAAGCCTAAAGTACATTGAGAAAATACGGATCCAATAAAGCCAAGTGAATATCCTCGGGTTTTGACAAAACAAAAAAGGTGAATATCTCGGGCCTAAACTACTAATAATACTGCTTAATGAAGTCGTCTGTGTTATACTCAATCATGCGTTGTTTGCCAATACATTGACCCCACAATTTTGTCACTCTTTATTTCTCTTGTCAATTAAGGCGGCTTGGATTAACCTACATTTTAATCTAATCAATTTTAATCTATCACACCTCCTCGAGATGCTAATGCAGTTAACCCCATTAAGAAATGCTAAACTGAAATTGCACATTAAAGAACACATCAATTTTCTATTCCAATTCATTGGGCAAAAAATGCCATAAATTTTAAAATTTACAATTTTGTGGGTACAAAATTACCAAAATTTCCAGTTTTACATCGCCCCATGTATGTAAAAAAAATTACAAATAGTAGTACTAATGGGGGGCTCAATCAATTTGGTCCCCAGCAGCTCAAGTACATGACTTTCCTTAATGATTCTTCAGACTTCTTTAGTTTTTCTTGATCTTTAGCTTTACTGCTTGATGAAGCCAATGCAGAAGGAGAAAGCTGCTTGGTCTGAGACAGGGACCTGAGGTTGTTCTTGGCAAGCTGGTGTACAGACCTCATGGTGTGGTTCCACCTATTCAATCCCTGATCTTTCATTGCCTCCACTGCGCCTACACTCACCGCTGCTATCCACGCCCTGCTTGTTGAACTCATTTTCAGCAAGAATAAATTTTAAAACTGTAAAGATTCCTTGTTGATGATGGAGTCTTTCTGGAACTCTTGAAGCTTGGTTGAGTACTAGAGATGTTTTTCTGAATTCTGAGAAGATGTTCTTTGGTGCTGATGTTGTTGGGGAGTTCAGCCATATTTATATTCTGTCATCTCAAAAGTTTGTGTAAATAAGTTGTTGCAGAAACCAGGGGCTGGGTGCTTTTCCAGTGGTCTTGGAGTTTATGGTTTTTTAAATTTCTAGTGGGCTCATGGGCTGTGGTATTTATCCACTGACTTTGGGGAGGGCGGTTTTGTAAAGGTCGAGTGGGGTATTTTTCATTTGCTTTTTTAATCCATTTTACCGAACAAAGCAAAGAATAGAAGAAATTATTACTATGTTTGGATACACATATTATCTCAAATTAGCGATAAAGGCACACTCGATGTATGTGGAATTTCGGAACGATCCTTTATATGAAAGAATTTAGTATAAAATTTTCATACATGAACAAGTAAATTTTGATCTTTTACTAGTTTTTTGAATATTTGTCAAAAAAATAGTTCTTTAATAGAATTTTAATTAACTTGTTGGTTACAATGTTTGTAGGTAGTTATGTAGGCAATATATATTTAGATAATTGGGGTGAAAGTTAATTTGTGGTTAAGTTGATTAGCAATATGGTGGTATAATTAAGTGATCGAGAGGGTGAAGCTGGAAATCTAAAAGATGACAAAAAAAAGTTTACATCAAATTTAAGGCTCCCTTTATATATAGTATAAATATTAGGGATAATTTCAGAAACCTCCCCTGAAGTTTCTGACAATTACACATAAATACCTTCCAATATAAAAAATTACAGTGCCCTCCTCTTTCACTTTGATATGACCGGTTGTCATATTCAACAGCCCACAAAATCAATCCCTAAAATACTAAAAATATGGGGAAAAGACTAGTTTTCCAAGTATAGTATTTTTATATGCAATTTGGCGCCATTAAGTGTATAACCTTGTTGACATGTTTTTCTTGCCTTGGATTGCTTGTTATGGGTATTCAACCAGTTTGAAGTGTATGACCTTGTTGTTTATTATATTTAAGACTTGTTTTAGTTTATTTAGTTTATAGTGCTTTGTACATCTAGAATCTTTGATTTTGAATCACAGTAGATAAACTCTTACTAAATATCATAGATGAATTTAAATCCACCGTTTTATGGCCTTTTAGTTCTGCCACTATATAACTACCAAGACACTTTTTGTGGTACATTCTTACAATTATATCCATATTTCAAATGAACTTTACAATTTGAATGAAAATGAATATAATTAGTAAACTCATGTTGATCATTATCAATATTTGGGTCGGTGACACTACATTGTTGCCAATGCTTTTTGATATTTGAACTTGTGTTGGATCTTCTTGTCTTCGACTACTCACTTCTTTGGCTACATTGCCATCAAACCACTTGAAATAGCCATACTTAGAACAACCAAAATATAACCTGCCAGGAATTTTTTTTTTTGCTTTAAAAAATTTTAATTGTTGCTTTCCATCCACACCCATTATAGTTTCTATTTTTCATCCTCAATGATGTGCCTGCATGAAATGAGCTCCGACGATAGTTTGATGAAGACATGTTTCTTTCATTGCCTTTGTATTCAGTTGAAATTGGCCTCTTTTTTTTTTTTGTGCTCATTCACTAGCATTTTATGCTATATATTGTCCACAAAGTACCATCAATTCTTGTAGGACTTTGCTGTCCAAAATGCTGATTTGTTTAATGTTAATTTCATGTCCTTAGCGGATGAACTTGGTGCCAATTTTTCTTCCTTTTTTTATTGCCATTTTTCTTGCCCAAAATTTTAACTTATTTTCTTTAAGATTCAATGAGGGCAAACTTGAAATATAATTGTTTGACAAAACTGATTCATTACTTTAAGAGTACTTTTTCTAACATGGACTTAATTTGTTATCAAATATGTCAATTAAGGGGAGGGCACTGTAATTTTTGATATTGGAGAGTATTTATGTGTAATTGTCAAAAACCCCAAGGAAGGTTTCTGAAATTATACCTAAATATTATTTTGTTAGCATCATAAATATATTTTTTAACCATAATTGTTAATGTTTTCAACTATTTTTTAATCTCATGTGCACATCATAAAAAATGCTATAATAATTATTTCAAATAATACTCTATCTAAACTATCTTCTTCTTGACTTAGCATTGAGAGGGTAATCAATCATTAGGAGTTATTGATTACTTGTACCCATGTCACATATACAAAAGGCTAATTCCATTCAGATACAACTTTACTTTTATTTGTTTTGTTCATAATCAATAAGCAAACATATTCAATGTATATTTGAGATTTTCTCTTGGATGACTACAATCCTGTCTATAATTAGGATGGAAAAGTTTACGATTGACGTCTCTATCACACTTTCATTGTACAAAATAGGGGACTTGTTTCCTGCAATTATCAGATCAATAGCACCAAGCAAGCAATCGATGGAGCATATCAGGTTAATTTGAATTTGAATAAAAGAGATTAATTTTGGATACAACGATGAAGACTGCTGCTACACTATAAGAGAGAGGATGAGCCTAACTGGATTTGTATAAGAGTTGGAGAGCAAACCTCCAATTCAGATAAATGCATTACTGTGCTCTGAATTTTATAAAGAAAGGAAGCACAATACTCCATTGCAAAAGAGTTGGAGAGCGAACCTCCAAATCAGATAAATACATCATTGTAATTTTTTTTTTCTGATCTAGGGGTATCCGGGCCTTCGGCCCTACTACTCCTCCTGTGACCCGAGAAGAGAGACCCGTTCCTTTCGAACACGATTTCCTCGGGACTCAAACCGTGGTCGCCATATTCTAAAGAGGAGCAACGAAATCACTCGAGCTACCCGAGTTGGGCTAAATACATCATTGTAATGCTTCCCCTGTAATGCGGTAGTTAATCACATCTATGGGAGTGAACATAACAAAACTAGCTGTACATGGTTGACAATGAATGAGCACCCGGTTTTATAACTAGTTAGTTGTAATAGGTGCACTGTACCCAGACAGTGCGATAGCAACTTGGAATTACAAAGAAGCTGTTGGCCAATGGCCATTTGTCTTGTTAGAATTTTGGGACGGAGACGTAGTATGCGCCAGAAGTAACACTTTCTGTAGTCTATCTAAGTCTTGGATTTACATATGAGAGTATTTTCTCTCCGTTTAGATAGCTCCTATATATTAACCAATCAAGTATCAACAACGTTCTAGATTCAACCGGGGGAAAAAAAAAGAAACAACATTCTTTTTTGGAGTTTACTCGTGCATTTGAGAAATTTTTGGTGAAATGGACAATAATTCTTATTACTTGAAGGATATTTACGCATTTCTTGAAAAGGAAAATGAAGCAGTTCTGCTGCTCCGTGAGATGCTAATGCAATTAATTTAGTTAAGGAATAATAACAGAACCCGTAATTTAACAAAGAAATGGATTTTCTATTCAAATTCATTGCAAAAAAGGGCCTCAAATTTTAAATTTACAATTTTGTAGCTAGGAAATTACCAAAATTTCCAGTTTTACATCACCCCATGTATCTTAAAATTACAAACTGCCTAGTAGTTTTAGTGGTGGGGCTCGATCAATTTGGTCCCCAGCAGCTCAGGTACATGACTTTCCTGAATGACTCTTCAGACCTCCTTAGCTTTTCTTGATCTTTAGCTTTACTGCTTGATGAAGCCAGTGCAGGAGAGAGCTGCTTGTTCTGAGACAAAGACCTGAGGTTGTTCTTGGCAAGCTGGTGCATTGATCTCATTGTGTGGTTCCACCTACTCAATCCCTGATCTTTCATTGCCTCCACTGCTCCTACACTTACTGCTGCTATCCATTCCCTGCTTGTTGAACTCATCTTCAGCAAGAAGGTAGCAGAACTGAAAGATTAATTCCTCGTTGATGATGAAGTGTTTAAGAGTCTAGAGATGTTTTCAGATTGATTTTTCAGGAGTGTTTGATGCAGAAGCTATTGGGATGTTAAGTCATATTTATATTCTGTCATCTCTAGAGTTTCTGTGTGTTTGTGTAAATGCATTGTTGCAAACCAAAAACCTTCCAAAAACAAATCCAAAAACAGCTACAGGGATTTTTTTTATGGTGGGCTGTGGCATTTTCCGGCTTTGGAGGGTGTGGTAATCCACATGTAAAGTGGGCTATTTTTGAATTATTTATTTCCCTATTTTACCAAACAATGCAAAGAAAAGAAGAAATTGTAATTTTTTTTTTTTTGGTGATCCAATGCTATCTTCTTCTTCACTTAGCATTGAGAGGGTAATAAATTATTAGAATACTGATTATTCGCACCCATGTCACGTGTGTAGAAGACTAATTTCATTTGAATGCAACTTCATTTTTATGTATATTTTATTCATACTTGGTTAGCAAAGTATATATCCAGTGTACGTTTATGATTTTCTCTGGGACGAGAATTCTATTCTATTTACAGTCAGGAGGGAGAAGTCTAAGGTGGACATCTATGCTACAATTAGGAAATTGGACTTCTACAATTGTTAATCAATAGCACCATGCTATTGCTAGCCCATATTGGTTTAATTTGAATTTGGATGTGGGATTAATTTTGCAACACAAATTTCAATCAACACTAAAATTTTTTATGATTTGCTTGTTACTAACTTAGGCCTTGTTTGATAACCCAATTCAGCACTTAAACTTAATAAATTCAGATCTTAATATGTTCAGACGCGTTTGATAACTAAAAATTAAACATCTGAATTAATTAAGTTGTACTGAATCTTCTAGGCAAAACTTGCCCCGAAAATTAAATAATAAGTTATTTACTTATCACTAAATGTAATATAGACTCAAATGTATTATATTTAATATTTAACAATTCAATAACTTAATGGATTCAGGTTTTAGATTGTCAGTTTTATCAAACGCACCCTTGGTATCTATATTTAATATGTTAATGCCTATATTTATTGTGATAGTGTCTACATTGTGTACTGTAATTGATATTGGTGAGTGCAGAAACTCCGAATCCACAGACTAAATGGGGAGGGGGGGGGAGGGAGGGTTGGGTAGAAAAATGTTTAAAAACTGAAGGGAAAAATCTAAAATGGAGAAAGAACACTCAACAACAGAGCAGCATCTGTGTGGTTATGTTGGGTCAATTTTAAGAGAATTGCCACCATAGACTTCCATGTACAAGAAATAGTCTTGAGTGCTTCTTTAAGTATGTTATGATACTTAACAAATAAAAATAAACACATTAGTTATAGTTGACAATGACAATAAGCACATGGTTTTGTAACTTGTTAGTTGTCATAGGTACCCAAACACTGAGATAGGGGTTCTCTTTTGGAGCTTAATTCCTTCAACAACATAGCAATTCTTTCAAAAAAAAAAAAAAAAAAGAACATCGGAAAAATTCATTTGCTTCTATACCGCTCATTTTGGAGTAGGGGGTTCGCTTTTGGAGCTTAATTATTATATTTTTGAGAAAATTTTGGTGAAAAGGACTATATTTGTTATTATTTTAAGGACATATATGAAAATAAGCATTTCTTGAAAAGGAAAATAAATGAATTTTGGAAGTATGGCTGCCTCGACTGGTCCACTTTGTTGGTTCTCCCACTCTGCGTTCCGCAAGATTCCAATGGCTAATGCAATATATTTAGTTGAGAAAAATTAACAGAGATTATATTTGAAAAAAGGCATGAATTTTCTATTCCAATTCATTTGGCATAGCAGGCCTTAAATATTAGAATTTACAATTTTTTTAGCCAGAATATTACCAAAATCTTCAACTTTACATCACCTCCTATATCTAACAACTACAAACTAGTACTACTTTTGGAGGGCTCAATCAATTTGGTCCCCAGCAGCTCAAGTACATGACTTTCCTCAATGAATCTTCAGCCTCCTTTAGTTTTTCTTGATCTTCAGCTTTATTCCTTGATGAGACAAATGCAGAAGAAGAAAGCTGCTTGGATTGAGACAAGGACCTGAGGTTGTTCTTGGCATGCAGGTGGATTGACCTTATGGTGTGATTCCACCTGAACAATCCCTGATATCTCATTGCCTGGACTGCTCCCACACCCAGTGCTGCTATCCAAGCCCTGCTTGTTGAACTCATTTTCTTGTTTATCTAATATCTAAGTGCTGAACTTCAGAGGATACTTTTGAGATTTTTGCTGAAAATACAATATAAGACAAGTTCTCTTCAAGAAGTGAGACTTCTGAGAAGACAAGTTCAAATATGGTTCTGAAGATGTTGGAATGCTGTAATGCTGAGTCATGTATTTATATAAATCCTTTCATGTGAAGATTGAAGAGCATGGACTGATGGATAATGTTTTAGCAACTAGCAAAAACCTGGGGCTGAGGGGGCTGTGTCTTAAACTTCTATAGACTATTTTGCCCTGTATTTGAACATTAGTTCATGAAAGGCCATATTAACCATGATAAGACAGTGAAGATAAGGTTTTGGTATGGCTTCTCATAGTCATAGATCCATTGTACCCAGACAAGGGGATGCAATAATCCTGCAAATGGTGAAGAACCTGTTGGCTATTTGTCTTGTTTGGATAGGGTCCAAGTATGGGACCAATTGGACCAAAATAGAAAAAAAAACTAACAGGGAGAAAGTATATTTATATATTTTGTATGCCTCTACATGATTTTAATGAACATACACCTTTTTTTTTTAACTAATTGTATAGACTTTCAACTTAAGTGCATTCAATCATGTGTTATAGTTTGTACATAGATGATTAGACGAATCCGAGCATATATCAGCACTTTTTTTTCTCCTTTATTTTTTCTTTGTTGGATACGATAGATTATAATCTATATATACATACACCTACTTTATGCTAGTGAGAGGAGGGACCCAAAGGCGTCAAGGGAGACTTGGGGAACTAAATTACCATCGGTCTAGACGGATGCATATGCACCCACAGGCAAAATTTTTCTGAGAAATCTTGGATTTAGAATGTCGGCCAAGACATTTGATCCATTGACCTACACCCAAATAAAGCCTTAAGACTTTTTTTCCCTTTCATATATTTGAATATTTCTTTGCCCAGTTCTTCGTGACAATCTTTTGTATCTTATACTACTAGTATGGTCAAATAATTTCATCCAGATTAATGTCAAATTGAATTTCTGCACCCATACGAGTGAAATGAAGCAAGATTGCTTTAGTCAATTAATATAGAGCACTAGTGTTATTAAACTCCACAACCATTTTGACAGTTTAAAATATTGTTCAATACAAAATATGCCAAATTGCTCGATACTTGGTTACACGACTTGAAAATTGAGAGCATAATTTTGTTGATTTTCATGACGTCCAAGCAGACAAGTGCACTGCCCTTAAAGCAAGGGATTTTTCATAGAGTTCTCCGATGGACTTTCTCGTTGAGAACAGGAAAAAGAGTGCACAAAATCAATAGCAGTCTGCTAGAAGACTATTGTCCAGTGAAGATCATGGTCCTCCGTAGAACTTTCCTGCCCCCTTAGATCGGCAAAAAAGTAGCAGTAAAAGTTGTGAAAAAAAACTCGAGCTGGAGTAAATCAGCAAAACTAAGTTGGTAATTGGGAACCCAACAGCTCAAGTATAAGACTTTCCTGAGTGATTCCTCGGACAGCTTCGCAGTCTCAGTGGCACTATTCTACAACACCTAGTAACCAATGACAAAGATCTCAAGGATTTTTTTTTCTGGGGGTACAAAGACAAAGGTATCAATTTATTCTTTGCATGCTGATCGATGAAAAGATCTCGAAGTGTAGCTCAATTTGCAAAGTCTGATCTTTAATCAAGGTAAGAAGCATGCGTCCGAGGAAATGTGGACTTGCATGTGGCATAAAATCAGAGACTGTCTTGGCTAGTGATAATTCCACGGCGCCAATATTAGTTTCACAGCAAATTATTTTGCATTCAACAACACAATTAAATATTGCAACACAAATTTTAAAAATTTAAATAGTTATTTATATAGATAAACTACTATTTTGATTAACTATTCAAAAGTAGTTTGAGAATGGAAAAGATGATATACTATACGTAAAACTTAAAATGAGCCAAATTTTGAAAAGGATACATAATATAAATACTAAACAAAATGAGAATTAGGTGGGAGCATTAAATTGAATTATGTAAACATTTAATATAAAATTAAGATAATTAACCAAATTAACGATGGCCAAGGAGGCTTTGATCTAGTGGTTGAGATTGAGAATTTAGGATTTAGAGGATTTGGATTTTAATCCTCCTTCCACCTCCAGACTCCTAATATTCCATCATCCCCTGCTAGAAAAAAAAAATTAACGGTCAAGTAGAACGTAACAAAAATTCAATCTAAATTTAATTTCGAGACCAATACATAGTTTATTAGACCCATGTATGTACCGAAGCAAGAATAATATCTTCTTTAAGAAGGGATAAGTGTCATAAGGCATTCAGCAATGAAATGTCCAAATTTTAGTGAAAAAAAAAAGAAGCAGGCAAACATTTATTATAAATAAAGAGGAAATGAATTATCCAAATTTTAGTAATAACAACTTTTAACATATAATCAAGCCAAATTATCAGAATATAAAGCATGATTAGAAAGAAGCATATATATATAAAGAAATATAAGTTGATTGTTAAAAATATTTAGTAAGACATAATTAATAGGAATGTACATAATGCGGAAACCAATAAGTTGACTGAAAGTTGCTATAAATAGGAAAGTGAAAAAGGAAGGAAATTAATTGTTACCGAAAAACACAAAAACAATAAAAAAGTGAAAGACACAAACATTAAAGATGTACACATGGCGAAAAGATAAATTCTCCTCTTGGCATTAGGTTAGAATAATCAATTCAGTAACCTACCAAAACTGGAATTGAACATTATATATATATATACATATATATTTGACTAGTGAAGGGCATAACTATTTTGAACTGAAATTTTAAGCAGAAAAGAACAAAATAGTAGGTCCAAAGACTCCCATATCTTGCGCAGCTGGTTTTGTACATTGTCCCTGAGGTAGCACTCGGTTTACAGCAAATCTAGTACGCAGTTTCATATTATAGTGTTGATTGTGTAGGAAAGCGGCGGCAGGAACAAGCATACCTATCAAATGTTTGGTGCAATTGCTTAAGTGGAAAGTGTTGATTTTTGAGTGTTTTTTATGGTTAGAATTAATTATACACACTTATGAGTTATGAGTGTGTGTGCAGGTTATTCTCATCTTCAAAATATGAAGATGTGATCAAATCATGGCCCTCGACTATGACTCCTTATTTAACTTTTTGGTTCAACGTGTAAAGAAGAATTTTATCACCTTTGGAATATATGATAAAGTAAAAGAGTAACTATCACATTAATTATTATCAAGAATATTGGCCAAGTACATATTAACCCTAGAACAAATTCAAGCACAACTAATTCTAAGATCAAATTGGATCTTAGTAGAACCAATTTCGTTTAGGTTGTTTGTACAATTTGATCAACATTAATTCAATCTTTTCATGAACAGTAGTGACTCAAGTGAAAAGCGTATGTGATCATAACCCCATGGTTTTCAAATAAACCATTTGTAAGCCAACAAAAACCATATGCTTCTAGTTCAAACCAATGCTCATTCCACTTTCAGCCGATTGGTTTAGTGCCAAGACAAATGTCTCCCACTAATTCAGTCATTAAATCCTCCTTGTCTTTCGACCAATCCGTTGTCGTAAAACTCGGATCAAAAAGAATGTCTCACTCTCTCCGTAAGTCCTTCATGCAAGAAAATTAAAGAAGAACAATAGAATCAGTATATAAAGATACCTTTGCTGTGAGCTTGAGGCATATGAGTAGGATTTGTCTTGCAACACTAAAAGGGATGAAAGAGCATAACTCCAGAGCCATGATGATGGCCGGAGCCAAGGCTTCTCCGGTGGAGTTGAGGTCGGAGTCCGGCAACATCACAAAACAGAGAAGATGGACTCAGGCAGGTGATAGAGAGCCTCTAAAGAAAATTGATGGTTTGATCAATGATCAGCAGCGACGAAAGCTTAGAGAAGCACAGAAGGCTGAGAATGTCATGCACCTCATCTTCTGGGGTCCCAAGTAGCTCACAAGTATACATATTACTGCTAAAATCTATGAATTTTGCATATAGGCTTAATTTACCGTTGTTTTTTCTCTTGCACCTTTGGTAATTATGCTTCTATGTAAGATGGAGATTGGAAATTGCTTAGATCACTTGAAAAGAGTTTAGTTGTAGATAAACTAGAAGAATAGTTAAGGTAAATAGTGGGGAAAGTGCTTGATTTTCCCTATGTTCAACTTACTGTTATCTTCATGGTGGAAAATATTATCACTAGTTTTTCAATTGTACTTTCTTGTGTCAATATGAATTTTTGTGGTGTCCTTTAATTTCTGTTAATGATTTTCTCTCTGTGGTAGTTTCAGACCTTTTGGTTTAATCAAACCGTAAGCATGATCCTGAAAGAGGATTTCAAGAATTATCTTAGGATCTATTTTCATGAGCTGCATAATTTGATTTAAGTACTCTTAGTGATGAAAATTTCAATATGAAATTCTTCGACTTTTCAAAATTTGTTTAAGTGTAGTATTACACTATTATTCTCTTCTTCTCAGAATCTTCCCCGCTGTCAGGAATCCTGTGCCTAGCAACTGGGAGTGGGAAGAGATAGGAGAGTTAAAAAAAAAAAAAAAAAAACTCTCTTCTTCTTGTTCATAAAAAAAAAATATTTTTAAAGCAAGTAATTCAGAAAAAGTGTACAGGATAGTTAAGTCCATCATCGAATTTCCCCAAATAGTGCAGCGGGCTTCATCTGTGAATAATCACAAAGAATTGTCCAAAGATAGACTTGGGCAAGTGTTATAGAATTTCAATCTGGCCAATGATTCACTATGGTTTTGCAAGATTGGGCTTTAATGTCTTATCCATGGGTAAGTAGCCCAAAACGGGACTTCACATACTATTGAACTAAAAGCGTGTACTTCATGCAGTAGAACTTGTACGCTGTGATAAACATGTACAACTTTCCAATATTTTGATTTATTCTCACTTGTTTTCCAATAATTACAACCCTCCTTCAAGTTTTAAGAAAGATTTTCCATATCCCTATTTGTACTATTGTATAAGGTGTTCATTTCGATATTCTTGAAGCTTTCCAAACATACAAATAAATAGGACAATTACTCTACATTTTAGTTTGTTTCCTCAACAAGACAACTAGTAAGTCGGTTGCAACCCTACTAATGTACTCTAGAAACCAGAAAAAATATGGGGAAAAAAAACCCAAAAAAGAAAAAAAGAAATTGAAGAAACAAAAGACCTAGAGTGGCACAATCTGACGTGCAGAGCTGCATGGTCAACTGATCAATCCCATGACAGAAATGAGCTTACGGCATATGAGTAGAGTTTGCTTTCGAGCAATTCAAGGACTGAAAGAGCAGAATCGTAAAGGGCCATCAATTAAGCCTCCAAATAGTTCAAGACAACTTTCTGATGCTACTGACAACTCAATTTACGTGACAAGAGCTTCTGCTTCTTCTGAGATGGAGTCAGTGAAGAAGGGTCATCAGAAAAAGATGAGGGAAGCAGAGAAGGCTGAGAATGTTATGCACCTCATTTGCTGGGGTCCTAATTAGCCACATAAAACTTCTATTTAGGATGGTGAGTACTGAGTATTTGAACTTTTCTCTTTTTTTTTTTTTTTTTTTGCTTTTTATTGTTTAATGTTTACATTACACTATGAAACTCAGCCTTTTCTTTGTTAAGGTTTTCTTTTTTATTAGCAAATGTGCAAAATTTGATGATGATATAGGCAAAAATTTGTCAAGAACATGTTGAGCAATCAAATTTCTATAGATGGTATCGGATACCAAATTTGTGAAGTTTCTATTAATTGCCTTTACTTCTGTAGACCTTACATTATCTTTGCTGTAATTGCCCGTTTTTTGATTCTTTTTCCCCCCCCCTTCTTGGAATGAATCATCATTATCAACTTGTTGAGATGAAGGTTGTACATCCTGATTCCTGAGGATTGATATCTCAAACTCTCTTCAGTAATTGTGTCGTACCTAGTAACCAGTACAGTGGTAAACAGATTAGTTTGTCCTCTCAACTTTTCAGATAAAGTGCTCATTGTCACTCATTTTCATTGTCTAAACTCCTTAATTCTGCTTCTCTTCTTCGTTGGATAACTTCCAATAAATTGGAATATGGATTAAATAATAATAACATGCTTCATTCTTTCATCGATTTTGCAAAGGATTTTGAGGAGCACAAAATCTAACTCAGTGGTCTGTGAAGTATGAAACCACCATGTGATTGAGGACTACTTTCATGGACTCAGCAACTACACCTGAATATTGAAGAGGAGAGTTGGGCTATGGTCCTCTTATGTATGCAGTTCATATTTATGGATGTTTTTACTTGGAAAAAGTCTCTGTTGATCTGAAGAGAAAGTTGTATAAGATGATTAACTTCATCTTTATGATCTCTAGCTATTTCATGTTTCATATCTGAACTGAAGTTCCATGTTGGCTATGGATTAAGTCAAAGGGTTCACTACTAAAACTTGCTCAAAGTTGATCACTACTTTTGTTTCTTTACTCTTATTCCTGTGTTAGATTGAAGATCAGTCTCAAAAATTCTGCCTCATAACTTAACTTGGTAAAAACTAAATTTTTGCCATAAATTAAGAAAGATTTACATATGCATATTAGTTGTTTCATACACCTTATGCAGAGTTGCAACAGCTCATAACAAGCAGCTAGATCAGAACATGATTTAGTTAGGACCCCAACAACTGAGATACATTACAGTTCGCAGTGATGCCTCAGCCTTCTTGTGCTTGTTTATATCACCATCTTCAGCAGCCTTCATATGGAATCTTGGTTCCTTAGCCACTACTGATCTCCCTTCATGTTCAGAAGGTTGATCAGTGTAGAGACCATTAGCTACTGCTCTGATATTTGGATCACAATTTGGGAACTTGCCTTTGATCTCCTTTGTCTCTTGGAAATTAGTTAGAAGCTGGACTCTAATGTTCCTGAACATTGGGGAGGTGGAAGCAGGGGGGAGTGATACAAAGAAATGTAAAGACAACTGATATTTGGTTTCAATGTGAATGAATTGGTAATGGCATCAAATTTATAGCAGAGAAAAAAGCATCAATTAAGACATTATCATTTTACTCTTGCCACATTTTGCACTATAATCGGACAGGTAACTAAACATGGTTCCTTAGTTTTTGCTTGATAGCTAATCTTCTGGCGAAGACTTTTTCAAGGGATTCATATAATATAGTTAAACTGATGGCATCTTTATTCAAAGTGAAGGTTTCTTGTTACTAATGTAGGGTATCATGCTAATTAAAAGTATTAATCAAAAATTATCATGGACTGATTAAACAGAGTTCGCACGTTCGTTCCATAGGCATTGGAGCAGCTGGCATAAGACCATGTGACCATTAATTCATAATTAGCTTATTCTGTAATAGCTTAATAGTCCTCTTTCACTATATCTGTGGATAAGATCGAACAGATAAATGTGGCAGATTTTGGAAAGGTAGCTTTACAAGTTGCAGTAGTTTGCATTTGTACTAAATGGAGATAAGTAGAAGGGGAGGCTGTGTCACGAGGAATACTTCAAATCCTACTCCTGTTCTTATCCTTTCCAACTATGTTCACATGATTGCCATAATTAAAAATGATTGACTAAAGTAGGGGAGCATTTAATCCTATCCACATCACTCTAAACTTTGATTGAACGTTAGTCTGAAGGAGACTGGATCTAGTACTTCGGATATTAGTAGCTGCATGGTTTTCCAAAATTGTGCTCGAGAGAAAATCATATCAACTTACATACTCTTGCTTCTTGTTATAAGAGAATGTTGAATCATTGAGCACCTAGTTGGCCAATGTGTTTTCCAAAATGTGATGATTTGGATAATTGTGTGTCAACAAGGATTGCAAACTACGAGCTAGCTCCCTAGGTCAAAGCCGGTTGTTGATCGGTCTCGAATCAAGTTTGAGCCGTCTCCACAGAGTGTTGAATTGAGTTTGAGTATAAATATATTCGATTCGTATACTTGTCAAGTCAGTTGAATCATTTATACTTTTAATAAATTTTTTATTAATAGTAAAATTACATAGGCATCCCCTGTGTCGCGATTATTTATTAGAGTATTATGTTTATGTGATTTACTTTTAAAATTTTTTATTAGAATAATATTTTTTAAAATTTTATTTGAGATTGACTACATTTGAACTCGAGTTTTTTTTTTTTTTTTGTCAGCAACGATACATTTGTATAATCTACTATATCCTAATCTAGGGAAAGGGGGAGTCTAAGGAAGCTGTTGTAGGGGTTAGTGGGTATACAGATCCAACTAGACCAAGGGAGTGTTATGGCACAACCCTTAGATTTTTTTTGCTGCAGGTGAGGTTTCCTCACCTACAGCCCAAAGAGGGACTTAAGTCCCTTCCTGATGGCCACTGAGCCATTGCCCAGTGGTTTATTTGAACTCGAGTTTAACTAGATTCGAATTGATTTTCGAGCTTGAATTTTATATGTTGAGAGCTCGATCTAGAGCTCGAACTAGTACAGATTCGAGTTCGAACCTAGTAAAAGGTGTCAAGCTCTACTTGATTCTACTCGGTTGGCTCGCGGAATGTAGTTATAAAGCTGCTTTCATTGCCAAACCCGTAGCCAGATTTGCCAACTTAAACACCCAAATAGGGGTATGGAGAACCAACTCACAATGTAATTACTTTGTCTAAATCTGCTACGATTTAGTTCGTTTGTAGAAAAGATTCTTAAGGGGCCAGGCTGTTTTTAATACTGTAAACGAGACTGATTTTCAATATAATCGTTTCCGAGATGACTGGCTTACTTTTTTTTTCTTTTTTTTTTTCAACAGACGTAATTAGTACTTTTATATATTAGATGACTGGCTTACTATCAAGCTCAATTTTGGGGCAGGTGGATAGCTTTGGCAAAACACAATTCTAAACAGAGCTGTAGCATGGTAGTTTTGTCCAAGAATTAGACCAGGGACATTTGCTAACTGTATAAATAATTGGTTTTATTGACAAATTAACACTAATTGTTTCATACCGCCAAAAAAAAAAAAGGAAGTTAGGTACTGGTATTCGAGATTTTCACAAATATATGGCAACGAAGATGCCTGGTAAGTTAACCACCAGCCTTTGGGTTGATGGCCACCACCTAGCCATTAAGACTTGGTTAAACCTTGCCTCCCATCCAAAATGTCACATTTAAGTGGTTTGTTTCAAAAAAATCCAGGCGGGTGTGCTGTGCACCTGTCTAGTCCGGTGCTGACTCAGTCCCCTCCGGATTATCCCTGAGCGTCCTTAGGTCTGTCCTCTCCCCGTTAGTGTAAGATAGATTCGGTACAGTTGTCGTCTCAGGAAAAAAAAAAAGAAAAAAGAAAAGAAGATACCTGATAAGTTGCACAGCTCTAACGGATTGACCTTCATTTTCTATATACTATCTTCTATACTATGTTTAATCATTCCTTCATCAAAGACTACTCTCATGTATGTTATTTGCAGCACTTAATCTTCAATTACTCTTTGATGTACTGAAAAATTATAAAATTCATGAAAATTGAGTTATATTTGTATTTATAAATCAGATTAATCTTTCTTTTATTGATAGTGTATGCATTAATGAGTTTGAATGCTTAGAGTTCACACTCAAATTAAAATTTTATATCATGCATTTAGATTTAGACCTGTTTGATAACTCAATTCAGCATTTTAACTTAATAGATTCAAATCTTAATATGTTTAGACCTGTTTAGTAATCAAAAATTGAACATCTGAATTAATTAAGTGACACTGAATTTTCTAGACAAAACTTACTTCCAAAATTAAGTAATAACTCAAAAATTGAGCATCTAAATTAATTAAGTGAAACTGAATTTTATAGGGAAAACTTACTTCCAAAATTAAGTGATAAACTATTCACTTATCACTAAATGTGATATACACTCAAATGTATTAGATTTAATACTTAACAATTCAACAACTTAATGGATTTAGCTTTCAGATTTCATATTTCAATTTTCAGATTTCAGTTTTATCAAATGCACTCTATCAATATGTGAAAGTAAATAAAGATTAGTCCTTCTAAATTATGCACACTGTCAATATGTGAAAGTATATAAAGATTAGTCCTTATAAATTACGGATAATGAATTTAATAGTCCACGATTGATTTTCGGTCATGGTAGTACAAAAATACTTTTATAGACTCAGGTACTAGCAATATGTAAATCATCTTATAAGAATTGAAACAAGATTACCAATAGCATAATGTGATGTAACTTAATTTTGACTGTAACTCCGTTAGAGTAATAGAGTTTTAATGTATTATTCCCTTAGTCCCACATATTTAGTCATGTTTGGAGATATGCGCTTTTTATGCACAATACATTTCACCAAAAAGTTTTTCCTTTTATTTCACTTTTATCCTTAATCATGTGTTGGTCAAAGTAAGAAGTAAAAAGCAATTCCATCACATTTGTCTTTATACATCATTAATGAAGAGTGTAAGGGAAATTTCAGAATATAAAGTAATTAGAAATATCTAACATGACAAATATTTTGAAATAATCAAGAAAGGAAAGTAGAACATTTTCAATGGGAAGTATAAAGTAACACGTAATTTAACTTTCATTAAAACAAAAAAGCCAAAAAAGAAAATGCTTCAATAAAGTTTCTTTTCACATGAGTTAGACTCAACTGGAGTTGACAGGCAACCAACACAAAACTGAACCATCAAATTGACCAGAAGAAAGGAAAGTAATACCCTACCCCCAAAGAGGCAGGAAAGCAATAATACAGGTAGAGCTGTTAAACGAGCCGAGTCGAGCTCGAGCATAGGACAATCGAGCTCGACTCGAACCTCTAATCGAGCTAGCTCGAGCTCGCTCGATTAGTAATTCGAGCTTTACAAGGCGTTCGAGATCGACTCGATATATTAGTAGAAAACTCGAGCTCGAGCTCGAACTCGAGTTTAAAATCGAGCCGAGCTCGATGAGCTCGAAACTCGAGCTCGAGCTCGCAAAAAACTCAATCCATCCCTCGTCAAGGGTACGATGCTTATGAAATTTGCACGCATATATTAAGAACCATTTAACAAGCCTAGTCACGGCAAGTGATAGAATCAGAACACTTGGAAGTGGAAATAAGAGGGAAAAAAAATTCCTATATCAATCCCCACAATCAAAATTTGAAAAGTGAAGAAAAAAACCCCAAAAAAAAAAATAAAAAACCCAATCCTATTAACATTCAATTATAGATGCCAGCTTTTGTACCAAAGGAACAGCATCGCAAGCGGTGCCATTTTCTTCGCCGCCTCCGGGCAGTTTCCTCTTCGGCTTGGCCTCTTGCAGCATTGATACTACATCCCTCATAGTTGGACGGTCAGCCGGATTTCGACTGGTGCAGATCAATGCAATTCTTAGCACTAGCATCATTTCCTCCCTCACGGAGGCACACGACGCAGCAGCATTTTTGTCCAGAATATCAAGAAAACCATTTTTACTCTTAATCTTAGACCTCACCCAATCTACTATACTATTGCCATCCCCAAATTCTGCATCCACAGATCTTTTCCCGGTCAAGATTTCCAATAACACCACGCCGTAGCTATAAATATCACTCTTCTCATCGACTTGCAGCGTGTAAGCATATTCTGCAAAAACAAATCGCGCCAACTTCAGAGAGAGATTCATTGCAAAAAAAAACAAACGAACGGAGGCTGTGGGGTGCGGGGTGAGAATGGAGGCTGCTGGGTGCGGCGTGAGAATGGAGGTTGCGGAGTGCGGCGTGAGAATGGAGGTTGCGGAGTGCGACTGCGGGGTGCGGCTGAAGGGTTACAGCTGTGGGAGGGGAAAATGTAAGACCAAAAGAGGAAAAAAAATTAGGGCTACAGACGGAGACTGGAGATGACTTTGGTTAAAATACCCCATATATATTGAAATGACAAAAATGCCCCTACCCTTCGAGCCTAACGAGCATAAACGAGCCGAGCATAGTTCGGCTCGTGTATTAAACGAGTACTAAGTAGAGCTCGAGCTCGGATCGTTTGTCTCTCTAAACGAGCCGAGCCGAGCTCTTATCGAGCCGGGTCGAGCTCGGCTCGCGAGCTGCCCGGTTCGATTAACAGCCCTAAATACAGGGTAAAAAACTAAAAAGTCTTAAAAAAAGGTAAATTATTCATTTGATCCTTAAACTTTTAGTTTATATAAAATTAAGCCCCTTAACTATTTGTAGTCAACTTTTAGCCCTCAAACTTGATAAATTGGGCACCCGTGACCCTTTTGGCCAGTTTATCCGATTTTACAATCGGAAAGCCAAATTATACGAATGGCAGCATGTTTTCAAGAAGGGCATTTTTATCCGCATCTTCTAAGCAAAAAGGGAACACAATTTTCTCCTTCTATCCTACGATATTTTATTTTCATCCATAAACTCCAACCTTTTTATCGCTTTTTACATCTTCCCAAAATTGTTTTTTCTTCTCTCTCTCTCTCTCTCACACACTCTCTCTTTCTCTCTCTCTCTCTCTCTTCGTCTCTCTAAATAGTCTGAATCGGCAGACCATGCCTAAGCCACAATTGAACGGAGCCTATTATGGCCTATCCATTCCACCACCAAAGCATTACCATCGCCCAGGACGCTGTGGCGGCGGCAATAGTTGCAACCCCTTCAGCTGTTGGTGCGGCTACCTCTACAACTGCATCCTCAGCTACATCTTCCAAATCCTTTGCACCATCGTCGTCGTGTTGGGCATAATCGTTTTGGTTCTGTGGTTGATCTTCCGCGCCAACAAGGTAAAAGTTTTACGCCACCGACGTCGAGTTGACTCAGTTCGACCTGTCCAACATCAACAAACCTCTATTATGACCTGGCCTTCAACATGACCGTCCGGAACCTCAACAAGAGGATCGGGATTTACTACGATAGGATCGAGGCCAGTGCATTCTACCAAGGCCAGAGGCTTAAGAACGCGAAACTAGATCCCTTCTACCAGCCTAACAAGAACACTAGCTCCTTGCGCGCCGTGTTCCAGGCGTAGCAATTGGTGCTGCTGGGAAGCGACGAGGCTTCCAACTACAAGGACAATAAGAATTTCGGTAGCAATTGTTTCCTTTTTGTTTAGAATATGCAGACAAAAATGCTCTTCTTGAAAGCATACTGCCATTCGTGTGATTTGACTTTCCGATTGTAAAACTGGATAAACTGGCCAAAATGGTCATGGGTGCCCAATTTATCAAGTTTGAGGGCTAAAAATTGACTACAAATAGTTAAGGGGTTTAATTTTACCTAAACTAAAAGTTCAAGGGTCAAATGGATAATTTGCCGGGAAAAAATTGTGGCCGGAAAAATAGCAAAAGAATAAAGAATGAAAGAAAAATCTGAACCAGAGGTCAGCCTCACCGTGCCGTCCACGTGTCGTATTTTCACTGGTGCATTTGTTTGCTTCTCCCAACAAGAAAATTCAGTACCCAAGAAAAAATTTTAAAAAATGGAAAGAAAATAAAAATAGAAAGGGAAAACCCCAACAGAAAAAGGGAAAAAATTAAAGAAAAAAAAAAGGGATAAAACCACCATCCAATCCAATTCTACCTTTCCCCTCCAAGCTTCGTTATCCTCCCTTTCTTCTTCCCTCTACAATGGGACTTCGCCTTTTCCACTGAACCAAAAAAAAAAAAAAAAAAAAAAAGAAAGAGAAAGCCTATTTTTATACGATTTATACTACTTTGTAGTACATAAAAATATAGTATATCTGAACTTTGTTGTAGAAATACTTTTGGGGGGAAAAATGGCGGCTGTGAGCTCAGTCTCAACGTTTTCAGGAATAAAAAAGCAATCTTTCGATAGTTTTAAGAAAATTTCTGCTCGGAATTTGTCCTCCAATTTTGAAGCTTTTAAGTTGCGTTTAAGCTTCTTCTATGGCTTGGATTCTGTTAATATTAGTTACAGCAACAGTGAAAAGTCCCGGTGCTTTGCAGTCCATTGCATGTCTACTGCCACGGGTTAGTTCAATTTGATTGATTTTCTTTTTTCAAATTGATATTTCATTTGTTTATGTCTATTTGGAAATGTAGGAGGGTTGTAATGGAAATGGATTATCAAGCTTTAATTTTTGTATTTTTTTTAATAATTGGGTTTATGTAATCATACGAGTTTTTGATGATTACTTTTCTTAAGTTGGTTTTTTTGGTTGTAATCTTTTTATTATTTTTTTTTTAGGAAATGGTGGAATTAGTAGAAATACACTGTTTTAGCTTTTCGTTTGATTGCCACTTGGATTATAATATTTTTTTTAAAAAAATCAATATGTTGACGAACAAGCTCAAGTTGGGATGATTTAGTTCCTGCATTTGGGTACAAGTTAATATGCTGAATTTGTTGGAATATTTTGATTTTGGTCGAGTTACTGTTTTTATTCATCAGGACCAAGTATTTCTTTTTTTTTTTGTGGTGTGTTAGTAATTTTCTAGGACCGTTAATCAAGATTCTACTCTTCCGAATTTCATGAAATTTAGCCACAATGGCATATTTTGTGGTCATGATCTGTTGATAATGATAAATTATTTGAGAATCAGATACAGCAAAGTGGTTAGAAGTCTTTGTCCCTCATCTTGAACCAACGTCCTATTCTCATGGTCTCCATTCCCCTTCCCCTTCCCAGGTTCTTCTTTCCCTACCTTTCAGATTGAAGTTTCAGTTTTTTAAGCTAATATAATTGTTAGCAACGATATTTTCTTTTTGTTTGTTATCTAGTCAATTTAGTTTGTAGTGTTTGTTGGATTGTTTCAGATGTGCCAACCGTGTCTGAGACAAAATTGAATTTCCTAAAGGCTTATAAGCGGCCAATTCCTAGTATCTACGGCACTGTATTGCAGGAGTTGCTTGTCCAACAGCACCTAATGAGGTACAAAAGGACATATAAGTATGATGCTGTCTTTGCTCTGGGTTTCGTAACTGTGTATGATCGATTAATGGAAGGCTACCCTAGCGATGAGGATCGTGAAGCAATTTTCCAGGCTTACATAAAGGCTTTAAAGGAGGAACCTGAAAAATATAGGCAAGTGTCTGTACATGAGACTCTGTGTAGTTTCACTTTGATTTGATTCTTTCATTTAATCTAGATGTGCTATATATACGATAAGGGAAAGCTACATTGAAAACGGTGGTGTTCTACTTCAGAAACTAAGCCCATAATAATGTGCTTGGTTTCTTAAGGACGTATGTACTGCATAATTATTTAATCTGGCATGGCTAATATATAAAGATAAGATAGTATCTCCAAGACGAAGCTGTTGGTATTGTTTATGAGTTATGTGCTGTTCTGTTGTATTGGCTGATCAAGAAGAATGTACTGATTCTTTCCAAATTCCTTTTCGGACTAATGATATAACATTTGACTAGTACAAGTCTTCTAACTAATTTTTAGTGAAAATTGCCAATTTGTTCAACTCTTGATCATTCTCTGGCTTAAACTCCTATTTGAAACACCATACTGCAGATCCGATGCACAAAAATTGGAAGAGTGGGCCCGCACTCAAAATGCTGGTACATTAGTTGATTTTTCATCCAGGAAAGGAGAAGTTGAAAGCATTCTAAAGGACATTGCAGAAAGAGCAGGAAGCAAGGAAGGTTTCAGTTACAGTAGATTTTTTGCTATTGGTCTCTTCCGCCTTCTTGAGTTAGCAAATGCCACAGAACCTGCCATATTGGAGAAGGTACATTTTACAATCGATGCACATCTTATGATTCTTTTCACCTTCAACTTAATTTGCAGTTTGCTAATTCTCCTCCAGTTATTTTGTAATGTTGAATCTATGATGACACACTTATTTCAAGTTACATTCAGAAAGATGAATCTGATCGTTTATTAGGACCTATTCTGTTGAACGCATTTCTAGACTGTTTATTGCTCTTTGTGAAAGTCATTTTTATAGATGCACAGTCTAGTTCATGGACTTTGACTTGAGTAGGATGAGTTAGCTCCTAATGAGCATTATATAAATCTTCTGGAATCTGTGGACTATTTGATCAAGAAAACCGCCATCCAAGGTTGCTTTATTGGTCTGTTTGGCCTAGAATGGAGCACACACGTTCTTGCAGTAAAGCTGTAGCTTTTATTACAGTTGACAAATGATTATTTGATTGGTCATAGGATACATATGAAGATTGACAATCCGGTAGTGAAGTATGCTAGTTAGCACCTTGTGTATGGTTTGACAAATAGTTTAGGGAACGATAGTAAACAGCTCTCAGTGATTTACAGATGAAAAAAGTCTGCAGTTGGCTGAAGAGGAGGTGTAATAGTAGTTATAACACAGTGTAAAGGAGCTGTGCCCAAGGCATCTATCTAAAAATTTCTCATGTTGTTCTTCGGAAATCCATACAAGAAGGGATGATTGAATGTCAAAAGAGAAATTTAATACAATAAAATTGCATTCTTGAGTTTACATAAGAATCGCTCAACATCTTCCCATAGGCGCCAATTCTTATGGCCTGAATCATCATAATATAAAATGGAGGTCCTTTCCGTTTCCTTTTCAGGCTGTGCAATCTGTGGAAATTATTTAATTCAATACAATGTTAATCAAAACTGGTCATGCAGAATAGATAGTGATAAATTGTTCCTGGGATAGTCACTTCCACCTCATATCATATTATTCATTTTTGCCTCTAATTAGAATAATAATCTTATAAGAACAAATATTACACCGAAATCTATCGCTGCATCTCTCCTTCATTTACTTTCATCCTTCTGTTTGAGCTAATACTTCTATAAGGATGTACAGATTTGTGAGTACATATTCCTTTGGGCAAATTTTGATTTCTCATGTTCTTTAAAAATACTAAGAACTATTCTAGCAGCACCAATTTGTGTGAAGAAAGTTATAGAATTTGTTTATTGGTGCAAAGATGATTTTGTTTTTTTGGTAAACTTTCTTATATGGTCTAAGGATCAGTTTGATGATTGACAATGGTAAAAGGAGGAGAAACCACTAATTCTTAGAAACAATGTTGCTTGTTTTCAACAATCAAACCTATGTAAAGTTTGTCATAACCAAGTTACTGGGAGGTAAATAAATAATATCAGAAATAAATGATAGTTGGATCTGGTGTATGCTTGGAATTGTAGAGTACAAGAAAGGCTGGCATAAACTATGACTTCGTCACTGATCAATTAGACATATCTAAGCAATAGGGATTGCGTGGATTATCTTGGTGGAAATGGTTTGTGGAATTTTTAACCATATCAGAAGCACCGTCAAGTTCTATTCACATCACCAAAGTAAATCAAGAGGGTTACAATTTAGAATAATGGCTCTTGTTATTGCAAAAACAAGATGTAATACTAATGAAACCACATACAACACACACACCCAGAGAGAGAGAGAGCACATGCTCTCCAAGGACATTACACTTGTGCTCTATTTAGATTAAGCTGTAGCACATGGAACAAGAAAATTCTCCAAATATTAGCTAGTGTATACCCAAATAACAATGTAGATTTTAAGATATTAATTCCAGTTTTTTAGGATGTTAGCCAAATCAAGTTTTGCTGTGGACGTGTCTACCATAATCATGCCAGCTGGCCAGGTGGCGCCTAGGATGATATTCTGCTCCTCTTTGTATATTATATTGGAGTAGATCCTTATTTCAAGTGGATTTTCATGTCTTCTATTTGTTTTTGTAACAACTAAAGAATCGTCGTAGCCTTTGTAATCTTGATCGCTTATCAGAAGAAGAATCATTCACCTTCACCTGTAAGGCAAAAAATGACTTCAATACATTTTTATCTAATTATGAGTACCATGCTTCACTCTGCATCTACTGCTCATATGTTCATATGAAGTGTTGGAATGGAAGGAAGGGGCCATAAAATCAAGAGATTGCAGTTATTACAAAATTTATCCTTGTGAGACTGTCCATGGTTTTTCTTTAATTTGTTTTACTGATTTAAACTGTTGATTTCCTTCAGTAGGTTGCTATTTTATGGTCTTTGCTATGTCTATCTGTGCATCACATCAATTAGAATAGACCATCAAATCTATTTTATATATTTAACTTATCGATCGATCCTAACAAGAAGAGATAGGAATTTGGGTCTAAAGTATAGCAGGTGCCTTTATAAGGCAACAAAGCCCCTACAAAACTGTTCTTAGTTTTTCACCATAATATATTCAAGTTTTAGCACTGTAACGACAGAAAACCCCCTTACAGCTCCCATTTACGAAGAAGGAATCAATCAGCCTACGTTTACTTTGTATCAGTCTTGATAAATTAAACTTGAACTCAAAATATCAGTCATTTTCCTAGTCAAATATCCTCTATACGCACAAGTTGCATTAGCTTTTTGAAAAACACGCAAAGGTTTACATAATTCATGACACGTCACTGTTGGTTTGACAGCTCTGTGCTGCATTGAACGTAAACAAGAAAAGTGTGGATCGGGATCTTGATGTTTACCGCAATTTGCTCTCTAAGCTTGTTCAAGCAAAAGAACTCTTGAAGGAGTATGTGGACAGGTTAGATCCTTCACAAGTTCAATTTATTGTACTTGTTTCTTATCTTTGGTTTTCATTACATGTAGACGACGTCAAAAATGAGTGATGGAAATATCTCCAAAAGGACCCTGTAACTGTGTACTAAGTTGCCTCTGACCTCCCCCCCATCTCTACTGTCTTTTCCTTTTTCTTACCCTTACCTTATGTACGTCAATCTTTTTCAGAACATATTTTCCTGCCTGCTACCTGACTTGACATTCTAAGCCTAATGAAAGTCTTTCTTAGATAGTCTAATTACTATAATTGCTATTAGCCCCAGTAACATCATCATCATCATTCTTACTATCGCTTATGTGTGTCTCTCACCTTCCAGGGAGAAAAAGAAAAGAGAAGAGAGGGCTGAATCTCAGAAGGCAAGTGAAGCTGTTAAAAAATGTTTGGTAGAAAGCCAATATGCAGGCTCGTAATTTAAGCTTGTTTGTTGATTTTACTGTCAATGTTGTTACAGTGATCGAGGTTAACACTTCATGCTGTATTTCTCTGTAACACTTTGTAACCATGTTTTTCAAGGATGTAAGTTGCTGTTGGTACTTCTAAGAGGCCTAGAAATTTAGCATTCTGGTTCATGTTACCGTTCTGCTTATCTCTCTCTGTTGGCTCCCTCAGGTTTCTTGAATACCTTTTCATTGCACACTATTAAACATTCCAGAAGATATTGGACAACCCTGGACACGGTTTCTTGTTGGAATATTTATATATCTACAATTTTGCAGTTCTAACTTTTACGAGTATTATGGATCCTGGTAAAGATATTACGGTGAGAGAAAGTGGATTTTAACCTTTCATTGTTGAGAAGTGGGACAGGTGAATTGAGGTAGTGCACAACCCTGATACAACGTGTGTTTTGTTTCCCCACTTTTCTCCTGGGAGTGTTTGAATATTTGATCAGTCACTTGAGAAATATTTAGGTAAGCTTAATCCCCATATCCACTGGTAGATCATCTGGCTCATATGAAGCTCATATGTAAAGCAAAAGGACTTAATGTAACTGAGCATGATCCACATTGTCTTGTGGTCAAATTTATTGATCGATCGGGTATACCTGAACATTTTCTTTAGGTACTGAAACAGGTCCTAGGCTCTCAGCAATCTCAGACCGCCGGGCTTTCTGCACCTTCATCTTTACCACCAAAAGGAGAAAAAGAACATTAGAAAATAAAAAAAAAAAAAAAAAACCATCAGCTGAGGCAGCTTTGCTTCGCAACAAACCTGCTTGCATGATTGTGGATATGAAACTTATATGACACTTAAAAAGAGGCCTTATCACTGTATAGTTTGTGTACGGATTATAAAAGTTTTGCTTCTGAACACTGTCAGCCTAAAGTCCAAGACTGCAAAAGTAGGATAAACAATCACCAAACCCATAATTGGCAGCCTTGCACTTTGGCGCTACCATTCAGAGTTACCAAAGCTAAATCGTTTCATCTCCATCACGAGGTCAAATTCATTAACCATGTCGGATCAAGAATCCAGAGGGCCTTCAGCTCACCAGTAGGATTTTCAACGAAATAAATAAATCACAGAAAATACTTGATTACTTTTTTTTTTTTTTTAAAAACATTTTTCAGTAGGAGGGTTGAGATTTAAGAAGGGTGGGGTGGTGGAGGAAAGCGAGGGTATTAGAACCGAGGACTTCTAAATCTTAAGACCTTGACCGACCTTACCAGACCAAAGTCTTCTCGACACTTGATTACTTATTTACCAAAGAGAATAATACAAAATTAACTGGACGTACGATGTACAAACAGCAGAAAACAAATGCCCCGCATGCAAGATATCAAGCTAAGATATCAAGTGACTAAATATTTGCACAGCCGTGCTTCTTGAAAATATTCCCACGATATGGAAGTTTAGCAATACCTTCCACAATACTATTAATATGACTCCAATATTCTCTCGCTATATATGCAACTGAAAGTTAACCTGTGTAAACTAAAAAGCTTAATCAGTCACCGCTGCAAGTTTTAAATATTTTGCGGGTTGATAATTTCAACCCCAGTAAACATATGGCACTAAATGCATGGAAAAATAATCATTTACAGCCAATTAACTAAGATGAGAGATGTCAACCTCGTCTGGGATTTTAAATGTGTCTGCAGCACCAAACTTCCTCCATTCTTCCCCAACAGACTCTTCTTCATCACTATCTCTCTCTCCATCATCTTGACCGTGTGGAGTAGTGGGACTTGAGGGGTCATGGACGCTTCTAGATCGGCAGCCATGGGTAGCTAATATCTTGACCTGGCGAAGATTAGATATCTCTACGACAACTTTGTCATCGTCCACAGGGAGAGGTTGCTTCCAAGGTTCCCCATCAATCCTCATGAATGTATGTTCTGCTGCACCCTTATGAAACTCAAATTTGATTCGGTGGGCCTATCAATGGGAACAAGAACCTTATCTGTCAAAAAGGTTCCTTGCTGACACCATATATTTCAATGATATAAAAAAAAAAAAAATCATAAACCCCACCATTGTTGTTATAGAACGTTTTATCCCAGCTCCAAACAATTCACCACCCATGGAAACATAGTAGGTAATGCTGGTAACTTTTTTTAACCTTAACATGAAAATTTGTGTCCAAAAATATCCTTTGCGCGACACCAACTTCCTTGCCAATTTGACTCAGTTTAAATAAATCTTACTACTTTCAAATCATCTTAGTAACCTGATCAAGCCTGCCTCATGGTGATTTTACTACTCATTTTCATCTGCCCTTAGAATAATAACTCCATTTTTCAGGCGTTCTCACACGACTGATGTTTTCATCCCCAAATATATATATATATATATATATATATATGACTTTATCGAAGGACTTACTAGTTACTGCAGCATATGCCAAACTGCTGCAGCTGCTATACAGACAAGTCATTGCATTTCATTTGTAGAATTTCAATGCTAGATAAGGAACAATTTGCAGTAATCCTTGTGAGCATATTCTTTGGTTTCAGTTGAAGTTTCATACGATTATTCAGGAAACTTAGACAAGGCAATAACTGCAGTTTTTATGGTTCACCTATCATAAGGAGATGGATTTCAAGTTCGATAAATATGAATGGATAGTAGGTTATACCATCTACAAGGCAAATAAGCAGAGATAACAACATGCAGACATTCTGGCTAATCCCACAGATCACTTTAAACATGAGCATGGCATGATGGGATGAAGGGACGTCACAGCAGACCTTATTAGACTAATTTTGCTCTGATTTCCTGAAGTTTATCTTAGGTGATGGTCGGTCCACAATTACAATCTCTGTTCAACTATATATACATACACTGAACACAGTATTAACAGTCTAAGGCTAGCTGGACTCTACAGACATGAAATCATGAATCCTTTTTTCTTTCATATCTTCGCATTCATATGCTTGTTAACCAACTAAAGTGAACACTTGATTTGTCAAACATTGGCTCACAAGTTTGTTACAGAGAAAATGAAACCACTCTACCTCTTCATCACAACAAATTTATACTCGTCTGATCTCCTTCACAACCAGAATGATCAAACAAAAGGTCCAAACTAATGAGCTTCTCCAAAATGTAATGATTATCTATATCCCCTGAGAACCAAAAACATCGACGAAACCTGAAGGATGAGAGTAAAGTTCCTTACCTGTGCAAGACGTCTCCCATGTCCATTTGGAGCAAACAAAACAAGCCCATGCCAAGCATCTCTAAATCCAACAACTTCAATAAATCCATCATCCACATAAGGAGGAGTCAAGTCTCTCTGAATGTCAAATTGCAGGTATGACAAAGAAACAGAACAATATACAAGTAAATAATAATTACAGTTATGAATTTTCTTGAAAAAATGAACATGGCTAAAAAGTTGTGTACTCACATCACGTCGTTTGTTCTTGTTTGGTGTTCCCCAAGGATTTAGTCCACCAGAGAAACTTGGCAAATTAAGGCATACAATTGATCTGATACTGTTTGTTTAGAAAATTACAGAACAAAAAGGGAATTACAAGAAATAAAGAATGAAAATAACAGAAAGTAATTGATCTGTGATACCTGTATGTTTAGAAAATTACAGAACAAAGGGAAATTACAAGAAATGAGGAAAGAAAATAACAGAAAGTAGTCGGTAAATTTTGGATGCAACTCTTTTCTAAGGAAAACAAGAAAAAAGTAACTTGAAAGTACAGAATTATAGAGTTTAAGGATGCATGGTCTTAGAATTAAAAGAGAAAAGATTCTAATGATTAGATATGCTCCCAATTATACTTCAGGAGAAACTAGAACATAACATCATTGGAAAAGAACATAATTTAGCAACATGCAAGATAAATCTGTCAGCAGAACACAAGAATGTGAGCAGTTTGTACAACTAAGTTAATATCCAATTCAGAGCCACTTTCCATCAAATTACCATCATTTATATTTATACAGTGTCATTGTGGTTTCAAGTTTTCATTCCAATGTAACATTACAGTAATGGAATAGGACTATATAGAGATCGCCAGTGATTTAAAGCTAGCAGTTTGGGGACTCTGCCCCTCTAGGTATGGGTCTCTTGTTTTTTTAACTTTATTGCATCATCCAAAACAAATCTTTTTACCCATAAAGCACAACCATTATGGGGCCAACGAATTTTAGGAAAACCAGAAGAATGTATCGACACCATCATTTGCCAGACAGAATAGTGACGCACCAAACCATCAGATAACTCCAGTGCCTTAAAAAGTTGCACTAGTAGAAATCTTAAATATTCAGGAAATTTCCTTGGACAGCGTATCTAGTGGTTTGCAATTTGATCATATACTATCACTGCCTTTTCCCTCGTTCATTCATTTCTCAATTAAAATGAATCACTACTCACTTCAAAAAGAATGTTTGAAAATACCTGGGAGGGATGGTAAGGTCTTGCCAGTCACCATGTTTTTTCATGATCTTAACTTTTGCAAGTTGAGCTATGTTCCTGCAGTTTGAAATAATCATCATGACAAATAAATCATCGTCACAGGATCAGTATGAATAGTATACTAAACTATTGAACCTCATCACGAGGGATAACTGTGACAGAAGAATCTGATGACTGTAACAGAGGGAAAAATCAGAAGGGATTGTGCCCTTATCAGAAAACACCAAAACGAGTAGAGAAGCATACCAAATCAACAAGCAGACAAAAAAATTTCATATGAGCAATAGGAGCAAAGAAAATATGAGGAAAGTTTCAAAATCAAGTTGTGAGAATGGCTTCAAGGACATTTTTTAGAAGATGTGGCATCCCATCAGTGCACAAAATGTTTTGCAACTCCAGTAGTTAAATATTTAAGAATTACACAAAGCGAAGAAGGATATGGAATGGGAAGTGGTGAGGTAAAAAGTATTAAAGCAGCAAGCTTCAGAATGCAGAAATTAATGTTCTTGGGAATTGTATCAGGTAGAGTTTGGAGAAACCAAAAACCCTAAAAATGGATGTTAAGAAGTAGAAATGATCAAAAGCATGTTAATTTAAAGAGGTAATAACTGATAATACGCTTATAACAATCCTAGAGCAGCAAGAGTTTGTACTAAAGAAATTGTCAACTAATATCCCCAATATACAGTTTTTTTAGTCACTCCAGTTAGAATGCATAAAAGAGCCAAATCAACAACCAAAATATTGTATTTCCTTTCCTGATTGGAGGAGAAAAATGCTTATGCCATGACCTATACAAGAAAGTTAATGAGAATTTGGAA